AGTGAGGGGAAGCAGGAGGACCGCCAATAAAGGGAAGCACAATTTTCTCAATTCCAAATTCACAAGCCTCTAAGTCAAATGAACGTCATGTTCAAAGGTTAAATATGAGGATGATTTGAACAGGTGCAGAATAACTTTTCTTTTAGACTTGTTAATTTGTGACCGACTACCTATTTTTATTTTTATTTTACTTATTTAATGAGTCACAAGAATCGCACGTCCGTCCTCCAAAATAGAGCATCGTTGCATTCCCTATCGCCTACCATGCGCGTCCTTTCGCAAACTTGAAATACGTTTCCACCAAAACTAGAGCAAAACAAACCTCACCCTTCCACTCCTTATTCCCTCCCGTGGCATTTATATTCCCGTCCCTTCCAAGAAATTCAAGGCTTACCCGGTTTCCAAAACTTCAACGGACCCACGGGCGCCGCCATCTTCGGGTGAAAGGTCAAAAAGACAAGAACGAAGCCTCTCGCCATTGCAAGGATCATGTGATCGAGAGGCGTTTGGCGATTGGCTGGTGGTTACCATGGCTTCTTTCCCTCGCATTTGCGAAGCGGCTGTCTCTCCTCCAAACTACCACCCAACAGCAGAGCTTCAGCGGGGGGTGGAGGTGTCTTTCGAGGGTTGCGTTAGATTTCAGGCTCTCTGTAGTTTTGCGTTCCCGAGAGGCCAGCCTTTAGGATATTTTAAAGGCTTCGGCAGAACCGCAGAAGCGGTTTGCTATGAACTCCTTTGACAATAGCGTTTTTCAACCTTGGTAACTTTTAAGATGTGTGGATTTCAATTCCCAGAATTCCACATGCTCCTATTTCGAATTAAATCTGAAAGTAATTCTCTCACCAACCTCGCAGGTCCAGTATAACCCTACCTTTTCAAAAATAGCTGGATTTCAAAGTTTTGGAACATAATGTGACATTAACATTCTTAACATTAAAAAAAAATCACCATAGATCTTCTTAAATACATTAAAATATTACAGTCCATTGGGTAAGAGTAACATAGCTGGTAACAGCATCCCCCATTGCAAAATTTTGTTTCAGATCCCATTTATATTCTGTATTTAGATGCATTATACACTGCCTTGCTCAATTTGGCATATTCCAGATCAGCTGGGCCAGAGGATCATGCTTACTGGGAATTCTAGGAATTTCAGTCCCATTACATCTCAAATCTCATTGAGGACATCTGCACTTTGACAACTACACATATACCCATCATTATTCGATGATAAGTAATCCTTCATGAATTATGTTGATAGCATAGAGATGATTATTTCAAGTGGTATTTTTCTGCTGAAGACATAAGGGGTTAATTTGTTTATTGACTGGATTTCTGTCCCTTTCCATTCAGGTATTCAAGGCACCATATGTAGCAATTCCTATTTTTTGCACAAGAACCCTGCGATAGGCTGGATTCAGACAGTGAGTATCTCAAATTCAGCCAGTAAATTTCTGCAATTGAAAGTATTCTTCTGTGATTGAAAATATTTTGAGGAGCACAGTAATTTACAACCCTCAATTACTGAAATTAGAGGAAACACTATCCATTAGGAAAATTTCTTGCCTTAATAAATCTATGGTCACTCTTTTACCATCAATTCATGAATTTTTCATTAGCTTTTCCAACTAATCTGGTTCCTGATGTATAGGAAAAAATTTCCAGTACTGGAATATTTCAGATGCTAAGTAAATAATCCAAAGTGATGGAGAAGGAAATAATAGTTATTAAAATATATCTCGTACTGGTATTAACTAAGAAGATATTTTTCAGATTGAAGTATCTTTATCTTTAATCACTCCCATGGTATTTTATCCTTATTTTGTTTTATCTTTTGTAAACCATTTTGATAGTTTCGAATAAACAGCATATTAAATATATTACATAAATATAAATTTGTAATATAGGTGGAAACAATAAAGGCCTAATGAGAGATGCATTCTTTTCTCCCTATCCAGGTGTAGAGATTCATCATTTTCAGTTTTATATAAATGTACTTTGATCAGGGGAATCATATTTTGATCGAATGTTTTGATCTAATATAAACATATTAGATAAAGGTAGTAAGCAAACCATTTAAAATAATGTATATTTGATTCTATAAGTCTAGTGATAATGCATCAGCGTGCTGGGCAAAAGGCAGACTGTGATGCTACCAATAGTTTTGAAGCTGTTGCTGGGGATGCCTTGGTTATTCAAGGTTGCCATTTTCCATACCTGAATCCCCTAAAGATGTCATCACTTTCACAGAAACCAGAATAGCCTTAAATAATCCCACATGGAGTGGGAGTGGGGAACTCACATAAATGATTTTATGGGAGTCAGTTTTGCTAGAAGATCATCAGTGATCCTGCACCTTTCCTTGGAAATGTAGAAATTTACTAACTTCTTGTCTATATGTAGCATCTAATTTTTGATGATCATTATCATGTGCCTATATAAATTCATCTTTAGATGTTGCTTTCTAGAAACTTGAAGTACAGCTCTTTCATAAAAAGAAATAGATAATAGGTCCTACTCAATTTCAGCACATTATAAATGTATCCATAAATATCAATTCCAATCCAAGTAGAGGATTATTTTAATATGGGATTCCTGGTTTAATTGGTCTGAAAAATTAACTTTTTTCAAGCATTTCTAAGTTAAATTACAATTATAAATACCTCTGAATATTCAAAATTGTAGTTAAAGCTGTCTAATGTGAAGAAAAATGAGTTTTTGTCATCTACATGGATCAGTTAATAAGAGAAAAGCCTTGTCATACTCCAAAACAGCATTCTTTAAAAATCATAGTCAAAACAATCATTCTTACAAATGAGTGCAAGGCAGAGGTATTAAAAAAATAAGACGAAAAAGAAACCTGTGTTACAGCACATTAATAGTCAAAAAAGAACCCAAAGGTGCTCTTTCAAGAGGCAACTGGACTTTCTGGATTTCTTTGAAGACATTTGAAAAGCGGAAGAAGCTTTTTAAATGGAAGCGAAGTCTTCAAAGAAAAACCAGAAAGTCCAGTTGCCTCTTGAAAAAGCACCTTTGGGACAACCACAACCTGGATGACTGAGAATCTCATAGACAATCAAATAACTGAATCTGTTCTCACTGAATATGAAAAAATGTCAGAAGTGGCAAGGAAGCAAAACAAAGCAGGTGGACAAGTATGAGTGAAACAAGAGTATCCAGGAAGAGAAAATAACAGTGAATGACCTTGTGGGAGTATTCTACTCTGTAGTGTTCTGTGGATCCATCCTGATTGTTGACCTTTTCCTCTTTCCAGATCAGTTCCCAGATTTTTAAAAAATGAAATGGAAGAATGGGAACATGAAGGTAGGACTTAGTTAAATCTATGGAGGTAAGAAAATCCCCCTCCCCAATTCCCTCCAGAATAGACCTGAAATTGCGGTTTGGTCAGAATCAAAGCCCTCGTCAGAATAATTTCTATCCATCAGCTGTCAGATGGGTTGGAATGAGTACTCTCAGCAGGAGCATAAGCGGACCCTGAATGAATGGAGAGATCATCCTCATAATAAAACCTTTGTCTCCTGCTATGCTTTGAGGAGGAAAATGAAGCCTCAGAAGGTGATTGGCTGGATTTTTTAAAGATAGCTGATACACCCTGCTTTACTACCTCAGCTAACATTGCCTGCATGTTAAATTGGAATTCAGGCTCTCGTTCCACTGCAGGATGAAGTGGGGGTAAAGGTAGCCTCAGGGGCCACTCTGGTTCTATAGGTAGCTGCAGGCAACTGCCCTGTTGCTGGGCAGACAGAAAAGAAACTTCTAATTTCACAGCCTTCAATGGAATCTTGCATTAGATCCTGCTCTTCAGCTCCCCCAGTGGCCACTTCTGGTAAAACTCTCCTGTCAGATTGAAGAGACTTGGCTCCTCTTTGTAATGGTCTCTCCTCATTTTGGCGGGAATCTGTCATGGAGCTAGCTGTTAGGCGCTATTTGTGAGCTCCTTTGGGCCGCTTCTTGTCCCTTAGCCCACAATCTGTCCACTGCTTTATCCCTGCGACACTTGTCCTGCTCAGCTGCCTTGGAGCTCTTTTGAGCCCCTGCAGCTCTATCCCTTGGCTTGGGGCTTGCAAAGCAGGCTGAAATATTTGGGGCTGCAGGGCTGAGCGTGACGGCCTGCGAGCCATCTCCTCCACTGTCCTGTTCACACAGCTAGAGTGTTGGGTGGAATCCACCATCTTAACGGTCTCCGGTGCTCAAGTTTGCTCAGGAATCATTACCCTGTGGCTCTAAGGACGTGGAGAAAACTCCCCTAGACCAGTTACCCTGAAGAAGATCCTGCCGTTAATCATGATCTTTATCTACAGCTGGTCTTCGGCCCTGCTTAAAGCGCTGCCGCTGTAATTGCAGGCTTCTGAGGTGGCCATTTGAAGCCACCAAAAGCCCTTCCAAGCCAAACACGGGGAACGGTGTGGATGTTTAATCTAACACACCTCCGTGAAATACCTCACAATTGGTGCAGATCAGCCCACAGCCAATCCGTTGTTGGATGGTCTGGGCCGAAGCCCTGACCAATCTTTCGTTCCATTTTGACAGCTGCCTAAGTAGTAGGCCGGTCCGGCTGCCCAGGAAATAGCATACAGGATTGTTTTTTGAGTAATTTAGGCCTAATTTTCTATAGATTTGAGATTTTGTAGGAGCAAAAAAAATACACATCGTCCAGCTAACTGACCGATCAATTTCTGGGGCACCCTTAGCAACCGAGGAGTGTCCTCAAAGATCTGACAGACTCAGTCCAATCAGCAAGCAGCGACTGATAACCCAATCCTGGATGCTATCTCCACCCACAATGGAGAACTGAATATACAATTTTGTAATTCAATAAATTAATGAACAAAGGGCTACCAAAAGTTTTCAGATTGAAATTGTGAACCTCATCAGAGATACAATCACAAGAGACTAGATTTGGATTCTAAAATGTCTTAACACACTTTTGGAAAAGTTCATTTTTAAAAAATATTTTATTTTCAAAATGTACATCCAACCTATTTTGCTAAAATCCATGGTTGAAAATAAATGCTTTTTATTAAATTCATCAACACTATATGTCTAACTATAGTGTAAGATTAGCAAGAGACATGTGGAAAATTTGCCATACTTTTATTAATGGCAAGGGCATATTTAGCTATTATGAGGCTGGAGTACTGGCTTGATTGGATCATACTCTTGGGTAAAAAATAATGAAATTTTTAAAAAACTGCATTGACAAAAACAGTCAATCCCCCTTCTTCCTAAATATTCATAAGGTACCACAAAATAAACAGGCTGAAGTACAAGACCTGGCTACCTCCAACAGCTGTATCTTAAACAAATCTATAGAATAAAATAAAGAGTGCCTTCTTTTGTATTCTTAAAGTTGATCCACCTATTGGCTCTGCTGCACGCAAGGGTTTTTTTTTCTCCATGCCTCAATCAAATCTTGTAATATTACAGAAATGGGCAGTTTAAGAAGAGAAGGATCTCCTTGCTGACAACTATGTATATAACAGTTCCTTCCTTCTCAGAAGCAGTCACTTGAATTATACAGTGCAAAGTCTCTAAGATTTATTAGGCTTGTGCTAATCTGTTGTCTAGGTTTTAAGTTACACCTCATTGGATGGCAACCTCTGTAATTTTCAGCCGCATTTCCCCTCCTAGAGAGCATGGAAACCATATGGTTAAGCTTGGATCGAATAACAGAGTAGTGAAATTCCCTCTCCTTGTTTAGTTTGCGGAAATAATCTCCCCGATGATTGACAGAATAGTCAATAGACCTAAGGGATGTTAGTGAACCAGAACTTGCCCGAGAACATTGAGAGGACAATGAAGAAAGTGATCGTGCACTAGAAGAAGTTGAGGTGGACTTTCTAGAAATAGGAGACCCTTCTTTAGAGGAGATTTTTTGATCAGGAATCCTCTGATCAGGTATTTTCTGAGCCAGGGGTACTTCCACATTATCTCTTTTGTCAGTCTGTGTCATAGAAGTTTTAAATACAACTGTTGTCTGAGTGCCCACCATTCTAGATCGAGTAGTGGTCTGGGTGGTGGCTGAAACCACAGAAGTAGTAGTTTGTGTGGCACAGTTTAAGAATGTTGTTGCTCGCTTCTCGTCTAAAGTTTCAGTCTGAGTGGACTGGCTGTTTGTCTCTTTAGGTTTTGTTAGCATTTCAGAACCACTATGCCATTCCTCTTCACCACTAAGATGTGGCCGTTTAGCACTCATCCGCCCCCCTTGGAGCTCTTTCACCTGTTCTATTTCTCTTTCAAGTTTTTTGGGGGAGCTTGAAAGCCTAGCAAACTCAGCTCTCAGAAGATTACCCACAGTGAAATCTTTGCAAGGTGTTAGTTTATTGACGAGATCTTCATGGCAAACACTAGTTCTGCAGCTTTGAGGCAGCTTTGAATTAAGAGGCTTAGATTGTGCATACAGGATTCGGAACTCCAAATCAAAATGTTCCACTATTTGGCCTGAGAGTAGCAATAAATTACTGCTGTTCAGCTTCCCATCAGTCCAAGTGAAGCTAGAAAGATGGAAAGAGAAAATATTATACAATACATTTATAGTATGAATTAAATTAATTCCCTTCCCTTTAAAGTAGACAATTATCCCCATTTTTATCAGATAGATTGAGGCTGAGATACTAATTCATCGAGGACATATAGGAATCCTGGGTCTGAAACAAATTTATTGAGGGAAAGCATTCTACTTATTCCAAACAATACTGTAACATTTAATTGTTCGCAAAGTAATTTTTAGTTATTCATCCAATTTTCACCAATTATATATAATTGGTTAAAAAAATAAGGACTGGCTACATTTAAGAGTATAAGATAAAATTTATATCTTGTACTTTCCTCTCAATATACTTGGGAGTTCTCCAGGGAAGAATAATAAGTTAACTATGTAACGGTGAAACCAAGAATTTTAATCATTGCTGCTTAATAAGTTAAATGACTATTAGCTAATTGTCAGATGGCTATTAGGACAAGCCTACACTAGAAGAAGAATAACAATTTAAGTATGCATTTTAAAGTGCTTAATGATATATTTTGAGCAAGAGATTATAATCTAGGGAAAAATGGGCACAAAGATGTGTTACATATTTATGCCTGCAATAGATTAAGCTGTGAGAATATCACTTGCTCAAAGTCATTTCAGGGGTAAATTTGAATCTCTGCCTTCCCAGTCTTAACTAAATAAATGAACAACCAAACTACACCTATAGTTATAGGACTTGAAGTGTTTATAAACAAGATTCTTTACAAATGAATAGGAAGTTATTTTGGGTTTTTGTAATAAATGCCCTATGAATTTTATTTGAATATATTAAGAAAGTTAAGTCAGCACTGCACTAATAGTGTAGAACTCCAATGCGACTAGAATCCTCTATGGCTGCAAGTATAATAATAAAGAATGAATTCTAGCCCACAGGCTATGTATAAATACAAGCTTATGGCAGTCCAGGCAGACCTTATTAGACCTACTCCAAGTTAATGGCATTATTAACTTGATGAAATCCAGTCTTTCAATAACAACATTTATAAAGGAAAGGAAGCTTGGGTGAAAGTGCATTTTTCTCTTTCTCAAGATCATTTCTTACCAAAAGCATTCCAGTTTAAATATATGTATGCTTGTCTCCAATCTCTCCACATTTCACATTTTAAAAGCAATCTTAGATTCTTAAAAGCTAACGCTTGTTGGACCATCTATAGTAGTATTTTTTTAAAATCTGGTCCTAAAGGTCCCTGGGTATTCTGCAAAACCCTCACAGTGGTCCACAAACTCAAAATTTGTCAGCTTTTGTTGAAAAAAAATATATTAAAGTCCTTTCAAACATGAGAAATGGCAGCAAATACATCAATTTTAATTATTAATATAATAAGGATTGATAAATAAAATCCATTCAAACAAAAGCCTTTTGGGGTTCTTCATATTTTTTAAAAATGGGAAAGCATCCTGACAGAGAGAAACATTTAATACTGGCTTACAGAGAAAAATTAACCCACTGTATTTTATTTGTAATTCAGGTAAATAGAAGATACAACTAGCTGAAATTTGATGGCAACCCAGTTTAAATAAGAAAACTAAAACCCCAAAAGAAATCATACTTCCATTTAAATGTAAAAATGTATATAAAACAAGAATGTTTTGGAAGAAACACAGCCTTGCTTTTCACACAAAATTCCATGTGGAACCGTTAACCATCCATTCTTGGATCTACTAAGAAAGAACTTAGCTTTCCCTGCATGGATACTTTTGTGCAATATTAAATACTGGAGGATTATGGAAAATTATGTCAAATCAACTGGGTTACTCAGGTGAAGAAAGCTTGTCCACTTATTGAGGCCAAGAGACCAAGCTAGTTTTGCCATAATTTAGAACAGATACTTACCTGTAGGAGCCTGTAGTCACTCTTACACCATCAACAAGCATGAACTTCTCATGGACACTCCCAATTATCTTAGCTCCTGATCTTGCATAATATGTGTTTCCAGTAATAGTTCGGACTCTCATTAACTGTTTTCAAAATGACAAAATTTTAGACAAAATTACCAAGGCAATGTGTTTAGCCACCTACATATAAAAAGGGCATAATGGAAATGCAGAAATATAATATACAGTAGTGAAATATGTTTGGGTCATTGTCAAGTCAACATGTTTATCTACTGAGTGCTAATGGGTTCCATGCATTTCTTTGTTCCAAAATTAAAACTGTTCAAAATTAATCTTAATGGTTGTTTTTCTTCTATGTGATTTAAGATTTCTTTCTGCATCAGTTAAAAGGATGGAACTGTGCCTCATCCATTCAATTCCTTTGATATGGCAAAGGGATAAAATGAGCTTGACAGTGCAGAAACAAAGATTTATGACTATACAGCACAATGCTATTCTTATCTTCAACTGCAGATTTTTCCATTAGAGCTTCTGTACACTATCAAACCAGCAAATCAGTATTCTTATTAGTAACAGGCACAGAAACATAGCATTAAAAAATGTCAAGAAAATCTGCTGCAAGGGATAACTACTGGAAAAAATGATAAGAATGGCAGAAATTGAATCAAATCCTTTATTTATTGTTCTAGCTCAACAAAATACAAATACAAAATTAAGAATACAGGAAAAGAAAAACCTAAGTCTGAAACATTTATTGACAAGATAATATCAACTAGCTTCTGCAACCCTTAGCTGTTCCTAAAAATGTGGCAAACCAAATTAAGTCTTCCAGAAGACTAGAATTTTTTTGATCAAAGAGAATTTCTGAAAACCAGGTTTATGAATGCCAGATGCTATAGGCAGTAAATGAGAAATATAACAATATATGAATTACTGATTCAACATCTGAATCTGAGCAATCCCAGACACAATTGCTATATGGGAGACTAATATATTTTGCTATAGTTGTAATAAAAAGTGCTCCAACTGAAATCAATTTTTTTAAAAAAACATATATTACTACAGATATTCTTTGAGTTATGACCATAATGGTACCTGCCCATCACAACCTAATTTTAGACTATTTTTGACACAGTTGTTAAATGAATGCTGTGGTTGTTAAGTTTACTAAGGAGCACAATTTTGCCAAAAACTGTAAGCAAATGCTGGTTTTTAGCAAAATAGTCATAAAACATGGCGATTTAACTGTGGGACACTGCAAATGGCCGTAAATGTAGCTTGGTTGCTGATTACCCAAAGTGCAGTCGTTTGACTGCAAGAGGGCCCAACTGTTGAAAAACCTTAAATTTGCATAAGGACCTCCCTGGAAGGTCCATCAGAACTTCAAACAGTCGCGAATGGCAGGTCGTAAGATGATAACTGTATATGAAATATGCAGATCGTTACAGAAGTAGCCAGGAACTGACTATGGAGAGTCTACAATTGTGCCATAATGGAATGGATAATTTGATTCCTGACATTTTGTAAATCTAAATCCCAAATCCTCAATTTAGTTTTGATTAAAACTTTATCTAGGCTGGGTAAAGATACTGCCATAATATGCTGGATCAGGATAATTTGCCTCCTTAGTGATGAAGAAAACCTATCCAGGACAGTAAAGTGATTTAACCAAAATTTAAGTTGTCAATTTCTCAGGCAGGCCCCAAGAGAAATGCAGTCAAACCCCAGATGAAAAAGTACATTTCATATTGAGAGAGGGAGGTAAAGTATGCCACTCAGAAACAAACTTAGCAGATTCTAAAGTTGGAGCATCTTTATAAACACAAGGTTGTGCAGAACATAACATTTATAAAGTATAAAGCAGAACATTTACTTTATACAATTATATTGCTATAGGAGCATACTGACTTAGCACATTAAAGAAACTTTAATGTGTTAGAAACTTTTTCTGCTCCAATACGAAATTCACTCAATTGGTTTTTCCAGTGAGTGTAGGGTTAGACATGGATGTAGGTACTTGAAGCCTTAACCTGATCAGTTGATCTTTTGTTCATATTCCATTTAATGGGGACTTAAAGTGCATCCTACAGAAAACTAGAACCTTGGTTTTTTTTAATAATGGATCTCAAAGAATTAGCTAAACTAAACTAAAGTAGCTTGGCACCTGTGAAAGACCACTTAGGTTACAGATAAAATGGCTACATTGTCTCTATACAGAACTGAAATGGGACAATGAGGCTAGCAGAAATTATTTACCAGTAAAAAAAAAATTATGCTGGGTTAAGTGGATAAATATACATATATTAAATGTAAATAGAGGAAAAAAAGATAGCAGATAGAGAACCTTAATCCTCTTTAAGATATCAGACGGATATATACTAAACTAATTGTACAAATCTCTGAGATTATATTACTTGTTTATTTTCTACAGTCGTGGATGCATAATTGACACCCTCTATAGTAGAGATTATAAGATAGCTTGTAAAGCTATTTTATCAGTGTAGATAAAATTCTATCTTCTAGAGAAAGTAATTTTGAAAGACAGAATATTCACTATCTCATCCTGGTTTTTAGTATCATTTATGAAACCAAATCAGTTATTAATGACATTACTAAAGATAGTTTATTACTTTCTCCTCTTTTTCAAATCATGTTCAAATAATCTTATCTATGTATATGTAAAGATAAAAATGTCGCATAACATACATTTTCCTGTTCAGGGGAGAATTCCAAGTTTTTGCACATTTCCAAGAAATGGCACAGAAAATTCTGATCCAGAAGTATATACACAGGAACCAGCCTTTTCTTACAAGCTTCCTGAAGGTCACTGAAGATGTCCATATCTGTGAAGGTGTCCATAACCACAGCAATAACCTTGAAGATAAAATCAAATGAATTCCAACATTACAAACATTTTATCAGAGGCTTTAGCACAAAATGGGCGTTGGTATAATTACCTGACAACGCCCTTTCTATCTACGCTGCAAGAGAGTCCAGGATGGGTATGACTCTTCCCTCTGATGTCATAGAGCTGAGTCTGCCACTATATAAAAACCCCTAGCTGGCTCCCCAGCTTTTAGGCGAAGATGCGTGACAAATGTAAGGTGCCTCTGGAAGATAAATTACAACAATTAATTTACCCCCTCCCCCACCAGGACCAGACGCCTAAAGGTGGGGCTGGACTCCCTTGCAGCGTAGATAGAAAGGGCATTCTCAGGTAATTATACCAACGCCCATTCTCATCCACGCTGCGACGAGAGTCCAGGATGGGACATACCAAAGCCTGCATGTCCACAGGAGGGTCACTGTCTGGTGCATTCACTCCGACTGTGAGAAAACCTTCTGTAGTATCCTTCGTCCAAACGACGCCTCAGCGAAAGCAAAGGAATCCAGGCAATAGTGCCATATGAACAGTGAAGGAGACGCACAGCGGTTTCCAACCAGTGGGCCATGGCCCACTGGTGGGTCACGACAAAATTTTGGTGGGTTGCAGAGAAAATTCACCCCCAGAGCACCCCCCCAAAGCAATTAATCCAGGCTGCACAGAAACACAAGGCTGCACCGCCCACATGGCCCGCGGAAACCCTCCCCACCCACTCACTCCTTACCCAGCAAACTTGCCTGCTAAATTGCTATTTTTCCTTTTTCCAACCATCATCTGTTCTGCTGTGCCAGGAGACTTAAATTAGCTAGGAAGCAGGAAATGGTTGAATTTCTTGCTTTCTACCTAGTCTTTAGATCTTCACCTCTGCTTTTAAGCATAGCCGAACCTCCCTTAGGACTGAAGGGTCTATTATTCAGTGCAGACTCACGGCAAGCAAATTTGAGAGACTGACCTAGCCAATGGCAGATAGATAGATCACTGAATGATTCTGTGAGCAACTCAATCTGCCTGCCTGCTTTGCCTGATTTTGGGTAAAAGTTGCTCTTTTTTTAATAAAAAAATCAATATTTACATACATGGTGTATTGTGAATTAATTTTGTGAGTTTGTTTGCTAGAAAATTTTATGAGTTTGCAAGCAAATTTTATGTGACAGACTGAGCTAGACAATGGCAGAAATTGATTTCTGAATGAATCTGTGATTCTACAAGCAACTCAATCTGCCTGCCTGCTTTGCCTGATTTTGGCTAAAAGTTGCTCTTTTTTATTAAAAAAATTCTATATTTATATATGAAAATGCCCAGCCAGTCATATGACGACCAAGCTACACCCACAAATTAGGCCACGCCCACAGAACCAGTTAGTGGTCCCTGGTATTTAAAATTATGAGTTTGGTGGTCCCTGAGGTCCAAAAGGTTGGCAAACCGTTTTAAAATATACCTGTTGTGGTTCGCCGGCAGCAGGTGTGGATGGCTGAGTCTCGGAGAGCGAGGACTCAGGTGAGGGGCCTAGTATGATGCAGGAATGGGGCCAGGACCATCAGGGAGTGGAATGCTTCCTTCGAAGATTGTGGAGGCTGGCAGCAGTGATGAAGAGGTTCCCGAGGAGCCTGTGCCCAGTGCGCGTGCACACAGGGCTGCTCAAAGGAAAGAGGAGCTGCAGCAGCACGGGTAACTTGGGAGTAAGGCTGCAAGGTAATGGCCCCTCCCTCAAGAGATAAAAGCCAGATGAGAAACCGGAGTTCTTTGCAAGAAGCAAATAAGTTTTTGCACTCAAGCCTTGTGGACGTTCGGAATATCTTGGTTGGTGTTTGGAGACTCTTTGTGTTTGAAATCTTTCTTAGTAACTTTATCTAGTATTCTTGCACTACCTTGGCAAGGCTCATTCTTATCAGAGATAATTAATTTGAAAGAGCCTTTTAACTGTGAAGGAACGGAATTCATAAAGAATCATTAAAAGGTTTTTCTGTTACCTCTGTTTCGTGTTTGTTTTCTTGGAACAAGGTTTGGGTCAGAACAATACCCATCTTCTATATTATACCATCTTTTATTGAATAAATATGATGCAGGAATATGTAATGTGGTTTTTGCTTATTTATTAAAGACTCTGCCTCGGTGTCAAATGCCACAACTGAACAGCTTCACATTCTTTGTCACTGATTCTTATTTTACAAGATTGAGGAGTTAGGAAAAGCTCATCAAGCTTCCTACTAGCAAACCTGTAATTGCAACCTGGGAGGAATCATGGTTTTCGTTCTTTGAGCATAACTAATCCTATGCAGCCTGCTAATTAGCTGATTAAGAAACTACCTGGATAGCTAGCATTGAGGGTGGGGAAACCACTGGTTTCTTATCTTCAATAAAGATTTATTCTTACAGTCTAGAGCAGCCTTTCCCAATCTGCATAAGCAGAAGTATATAAAGTTGTATAGCAATGGCCATACTGACAATTGAATTCTGAGATAAAAATCTTAGATAATGAAGACCAATCCAGAAAATATGCAATGATTGTAATATCTTTTTTTTCATGTCTGTTGAAAATATTACATGTTCCTGCAATTAATCTTACATGTTGGACTTGTATAATTACTTTCATCATGGCCACTAGAAGCTACTGTAACAAAGTCGGCTATCTTTCAACATTTTCTCCACTCCTTTCCTTCAAGGCAGAAATTGAGCCAAGTACCAGCTTGCTGCTGGTGTTGTTGGGAATGTCAGTGCTGTACTTAAGATTTAAAATTGTTAAAAACAAATCTACAAGCTACATATGACTTCTCCTTTTTAGAGCACTAAACATAAATGGGTCAAATACTGGAATAACAAATTATTAGAACTTGGCACTATAGGAATGTCAAGTATTCCTGGATGCTGGAAGTAAACACTAATTGCCTGATATTTTTACAATCTTACATGAGAAAAAAAGAGTTGTCACAAGAAGAATGCTTTTCAAGTCTCTGGATTATCAAATAACTTTTGTATATTAATAATTATGACACATTTATAAACACCATTCCAAAACATCACTATGACTTTATCAGTGATATAGAAGAGTGGTGGCATTCAAAAACTTTTACCAACAGTTTGGTGGGTGTGGCTTGGTGGGCGCGCTTTGCATGCATGCGCACATCAAACATGCACTTTGCACAGACGCAGAGGCAATTGCACAGGTGCAGAGGCATTCCAACTCACCTCCTGCAATCCTGCACTCTCCTGGTCACTTCAGCAGCTGCCACGTGGCACCTTCTGTGCCACGCAAAGCAGTTGCGCTTCAAATTCAAAGGATAAAGGTGAGTATGGGAGCCCGGGTGGATGGGTGGGCCTAACAGCAGAGTAGTGGAGAGAACCGGTTCGGTCTCCGCTGCTCATCGCTGCTATTGGCTCAGCAGAACCGGGCCGAATCGGTAGCATACCACCACTTATATAGACCACCACTGATATAGAAGAATAAGCTATTTACTAAATTCTCATTCTTATGCAGAGATTTGTGTGTTCTTCAAGAAAAGTGATATCTGGCTCTCGCACTTTATGTCTTTCTTCCCCAGGATTTTTTGTTTTTGTTTAACCAGATGTTTGGCAAACAGAAATTTTAAAAGTAATCTTCTAACATGACAAAACAATCCAGATTACCTGTCTAAACATCTCATCATGTAAATCAAGTGGCTGTTTCTTGGTGTTACCTGTACAGCAGCTCAAGGGTTTTTCCTTTCCTTCCTTCACATTCCTTTTTTGTAAAATGGGCGTTGGTAAATTCTCCCTCGAGCCGCTCGGAGCATCCAGAGACTGGGATGTGCTTCTGAGTCCTCTTCTTGCAGGCTGAGCTTTAGATGAGGAAACGCTCCGCCCCCTCACGTGGTATCGCGCAGCGTCTCCCCAGTCTTTTGCTCAGCCTCGAAGAGTCAGGCTGTGTTTTCAGAGAGCTCCTTGGCTGATCATACTTTTCTTGCCTATTTCTTGCCTATTCCAACTTCGTCTTCATAAGGTTTGCCTTTCCTTCCTCCTCCTGCGCAAAGGGTCTGGACTTAAGGGAAAAATTCCCCCGTCCTTGGGGCAAAGCTGCGGGCTCGCAGCGCGATAGTGCGACCCCCCCCCACCCTTATCAGATCGCTTCGCTGCCTCCGCGTTGCCTTGTGGCACGCGTTTTCTTTACAGCTGGATTCCCCCCCACCTTAAACACCGATCGGGAGGGTCATCGCCCCTAGGGCCCTAGGCGCTGAGCTGACCAGCAAAGCCCTCCCTTCCGTCCCGAAGGCGTCCCGACGGTTCAGCTTGCGGCCGCCATTTTGGCTCCGCATCGTGGTCGGGCGCCATTTTGAAATTCTTAGCTGCGGTGAATTGGAGCCCCAGGCCTTGGGTCAAAGCTTAGCTGCCCATTTCTTCCACCTGGCTCGCTCTTTTATTACTTGTTGGCCTCCCGCAGCCCGTTTTTCGGGGCGAAGTTGCAGCCCCCCCCCCCTCCGGTTTTATTTTTCTTGTCTGGAGGCCTGCTGCCAGAGGCTCTTTCTTACCATAGGCCTCAGGTGTTTATTTGACTGATTGGTCTGTACTGAGATATACGAAGTTCTCACTGTTACGGATACTTAAAAAAAAAAAAAAAAAAAAAGAAATCTATATATATATATATATATACTTAATACAAATACAAAAGGAATATATTAAAAAATAATAATAATAATAATAATAATAATAATAATAATAATAATAATAATAATAATAATAATAATAATAATTTTTGTTTTGTACAATAATATTTTTTCGTAAATATATACGGATAACCTGTATATACATTTGGTACAAAAGCATAATAAAGATAAAAAAGCTATCAAAAGGAAAAGGAAGAATTACAAATTAGAGTATCTATTTTTCTGTACATACTATATTTCTTAGATACCTTACTGTTATCTCTGTACACAAAAAATTCCAAAAGGGGGAGAGGGCCAGCTTCACCTTCACCCGGCCTCATCCAGGCCTGATCTGGGCGAGCCAACCGCCTTTG